GCTTTGTATAAAATGATTACATGTTTTTTAAATTCATCTACTGTAAGCCTTTGTAGTTGTTCTGATGTCAGCCGTCTCTCAACCGCTGCATAACAGAGCTCAGACTGGGAAATGGAAGAGAGTACAAGGGGCCAATTAGAATCTGCAGCAGGCACATGCGTGAGGGAACGACAAGGGGGCCTCATCAGTGGGCCGCTGCTCTTTAATGTCCAATCATCAGCTTAGGGGGGGGGGGGGGTGTCCATTATTCTGCCTTACATACTGTACAGTTTGCAAGAAAAAGTATGTGAAACCCCTTGGGATTACGTGGAGTTTTGCATGAATTGGGCATAAAATGTGCTCTGAACGTCATCTAAGTCACAACAATAGAAGAACACAGTCTGCTGAACATAATACTACACAAACATTTTAGATGTTGCCAATGGTTTCATTGCACATAACATGTAAACATTCACAGTGCAGGGAGGAAAAAGTATGTGAGGCCCTAGCTTAATGACTTCTCCCAGAGCTAATTTGGAGCCAGGAGTGAGCCAACCTTGACTCCAATCAGTGTGATGATATTGGAATGTGTTGCTGACAAATAAGTGTTTTTGGGTTTACTGGTTTCAAGAAGCACACTGTCTGATGTGAACCATGCCTCGCAAAAAGAGCTCTCAGAAGACCTACCATCATAATAATTGTTGACTACTTGCATTAATGAAGCTGGAAAAACGGTTTCGTGTTTTTTCCAATAAAGAGCGGATGTTTGGGGCCTCAGGGGTTGTATGCTGTGGTTTGCCGTCCCCTGCAGGACTCATATTCTTATACCTGCTGGGAGGTGAAATATGCAGGAGAAGATCAGCCCCCGAGGTCTGTCCATCTACAGGAAGGAGCAACAATCTGTGTCAAGATGTGAGCCAGAGTGTATGGGTAGAGTTCCCCCACAGCGGGTGTAGACCCTGCTATGGCTTCTAAAATAGAGAAAAGGTATGGAGGTCAAGCCGATTAATAGCCCCATATAGTGTCCATAGAGAGGAGAACAGGAAGGGACCATTCACTCTGAATGTTACACTCAATGGCCCTCCTATGGACATTCACCCTGAAAATTGCTTGATTTAATCCTTTAGTGTGACTATGGGGGGGGGGTATAAATAAAATATTTAAATAAATTTAAATATTGCAAAATTAAAATGGTGATAATAAAAATGGGTAATATAGGAATAATTAACAATTGGTGTGGCTATTGGGGGGGGGGGGGGGTATTAAAAAGATAAACAATAAAAACAGCAAAAAAAATAAAAAAAAAAAATTCATTAGGGGGTTTAAATGGTTTAAATTAAAGAAATATAAAAAACCACTTGGTGTGGCTATTGGGGGGGTAAAGTAGGAGATGTTTTAACTAAAAAAAATGTGGCTAAATAATAATCAAAGCTAACAAATAAAACAATAACAAAAAAAATGATATTTGTTAAAAAATAAATAAAAAATAAAAAATGGTTTAAAAAAAATAAATAAAAAAAAAATATCAAAAAAATAAAAAAAAAGTTTTAAATAAAATAAAAAATATAATAAAATAAAAAAAATTATAAAAAAAAAAAAAAAAAAAAAATAAAAAGGGGCGGGGAACAGTCATAGGAATATTTAACCCTTTGGGGCTTGATTTAACCTATGACTATGGGGGGGATTATAGGGAAGATTTTCAAACTTGGTGTGAAATGTGGAAATTTTACATAGTGGGGGGTTGCTAACGGGTATAGGGAAAAGATGTTTAACCTTTGAGGTGGTATGGGGGGGGGGGGGGGGGGTTTAGGAGATATAAACCCTTGGTGTGGCTAACATATTGGGGGGGGTATAGGATTGATGTTTAACTTTTGGTGTGGCTAATTGGGGGGGAGCCTTATAGGTGATATTTAAACCTTGGTGTGGCTATTGAGGGGGGTCTAGGAAAGTGTTTCCCGGATCCTTTGGTGTGGCTATGGGGGGGGGGGGGGGGGGTATAGGAAAAAAAAAAAACTTTGGTTGTGGCTATCCGCCCCACCCGGGACCTGTATAGGAGATATTTTTAACAAAACTTGTGGTTTGGCTAATAAACGGGGGGTACGACCTAGGAAACAAACAGCGCTGTTTAACCTTTGGTGCCTGACAATTTGGGGGGCAGAAGTTGTATAAAGAAAAGAAATTTAACTTTAATGTGGTATTGGGGGGGGGGTATAACCAGATATTTAACCTTTGGATGAAATTGGGGGGGGGGGTAGTATTAGGGGAGATTTTTTACTTTTTTTCTTTTTTTTTAGTGGAAGTTGGGTTGCTTTGTCGGTTTTGGAAAGATCTCCATTTACAGGTGAGGTGTAGTTTGTGGTTGTCACCAGCAGGTTGTTCGCAAAAAAAGTTGACATAAGGTTTACAATTTGTAACAATTGAAGAATTGATGTCATTTGTTTGCTAATAATACCCAGGAGCCTCCTGTCCCCGTAAAATCACACAATGTGCAGCAGCAAAATGAGAGTGAGCTCTAATGTTACCTATCCCAGTCGGGGACTGCTGTTGTCAACCCATCCCCCTGGGATCCAGAGGATCCCCCCCCCGTTCTGACCAGACATTTTTTGCAATACAAATGGCGCTGCGGTTTACTTTGCTCTGGACAATTGCGCAGTCATGCAAATGCTCAACCGAAATGAAATTTTGTCCTTTTTTTCCAAAAAGACTAATGGAGCTTTCTTTCAGTGGTAATAATGATACACGGGTTTTTATATTTTTTGTGCGTGGCAGACAAAAAAAGACCGACAATTTTGAGACAAAAAAAACAATATTTTTTGACTTAATTTATTACTCAAAAACACATCCAGTCCCCCCCACACTATAAAACACCCCCCCAAAATCAAAATTTTCTTCATAAAATTTCAGACAAAAATGTCTCCTGCTCCTTGTCTTCGCTAAATAAAATCCCGATACGTGTAAATTAATTGGTTTACGTGATTTTTTGTAGCGTTTACAAATGGCGATATAGATACAGGATTTTTATTTTTATTATTTTTTTATTCTAGTCATGGCAGTGATCAGCAACTCTATAGCGGGACTGCGGCGGGGTATTCTGACACTAGGGGGGGGGGGGGGGACTGATTTGGGTGTCACTGACATCCCCAGTGACACCAATACAGTGATCAGTGCTAATAAAAAGCCCTGACACTGTACTAATGGCACTGGGCAGGAAGGGGGTTAACATCTGGCGTAATCAAAGGGTTAACTGTGTGCTGATTATGTTTCACTGTAAGCATGCTTTTATGCAGAGCCATACAAAGTAGTGTACAGGAGCTGACAGGGGAGAGATCCTTATTGTTTACATAGCGGTCTCTTCCCCATCAGTGATACTCGTCGATTGCCGGGTGCCAGCGGGGGGAATCACCGACCCGGGACCCGTGTGATTTGATAGCCAAGGCCGCCAATGGTGGAGCAGGTAGGGAGCGCATGCGCCCCTACCCGGAAATCACGAATATATACATGATTTTGTGCAGCCCTGCCACCCTGTAGCAGTATTTTTGCAGAAAGCGGTTAAGGATACACAATGGATTGCATAACATGACAATAAGTGCAGCGCTACTTGTATCAGGGTGAAAACGAACGAAATCTCAACAGAAACAAAACGTGACATAATGGTGGAACAGACAGTAAATCTTAATGAAAATGAATGCTAAAACAGTGCGGCATCACATGATATTGTGCATATGGTGGAAATGACTCATATTAAGCCCCCAATACAGGGGATATACCTATAAAACAAGTGCTCAGCGTCAACACAGTCTATTCATACCATAAATGAACTGCTGAAATCAGAAAAATATATATATAGCTAGATTGGGCTCCTCACCTCCTTGCTGCGACCCTAAAAGGGTCTCTAAATGCCCTATGGATCTTATTATAGGCCCTTTTAGGGTCGCAGCAAGGAGGTGAGGAGCCAATCTGTGTGTGTGTGGAGTCATCATCAGAGCCTACAAACGCACAACATTCACCTGCATGATTGCATGTATTGTTGTGGACACTGGTGGCACCTTCTGTTTACGAGATATTACTTTGAGTGATGTGTTCAGTTATATTCACTTGCTGTATATATATATTTTCTGATTTCATTTATGGTATGAATAGAGTGTGTTGACGCTGAGCACTTGTTTTATAGGGTATATCCCCTGTATTGGGGGCTTAATATGAGTCATTTCCACCATATGCACAATATCGTGATGCCGCACTGTTTTAGCATTCATTTTCATTAAGATTCACTGTCTGTTCCACCATTATGTCACGTTTTGTTTCTGTTGAGATTTAGTTCGTTTTCACCCGAGCGCTGCACTTATTGTCATATTTTGGTTTTTTTCACTTTAGGTAATAAGGTGCGGGTGAAGCAGCTTATGTTTAGTTTAGTAGGATTGTTCGCAGGACGTTTTCCCTATTTCTTGATACAATGGATTGCATGCTGTCACTTGCTCTGACCAGTCAGGAGGAGATCCTTGGGGACCTGGCTGCCTACTATGACCCTCCCCCAGCATAGTCCAGGATTGGTCCAGACCTGGTCATCTGCAATATTCACAGACGCTGAGCAGACATTGGCAGTGCCGGACTGATGTACATCTCTATGGAGCTGCGGATGTCTTCCTATAGGAGAATATACTTCGACTTTTGTGCCATCGAACATTTCTGGTGGTCAGTGGTAGGTGGCTGATTTGCATTCAGGTGTATAGGAAACATTGGCACAGCTTCATATTACATTGCAGATGCTCCTTATACAAACACACTCCATGTGGATACCACCTGGTTGTACAAGAAATGGTGGTACCACCATACAGTCCAGGCCAGGAGATGGTTTTCATGCATTGTTATCCGCAGTGTGTGGCCCTTTGCTTTCAGTGGGCTAATCCTCCGCTGACTTCAGATATATTACTGATGTATCATCAACAGCCAGTTTTTCTTTCAATATATTCCTCCAGCCCGGATATTATTTCTTGTATAGACACTGAAATGCACACTGGTATGGACACTGGAAGCCATTGGAGGGATTGGCAGAGAGGGGTGGAGGACACTGAATGGAGGCCAGTGGAGGGATTGGCAGAGAGGGGTGGAGGACACTGAATGGAGGCCAGTGGAGGGATTGGCAGAAAGGGGTGGAGGACACTGAATGGAGGCCAGTGGAGGGATTGGCAGAGAGGGGTGGAGGACACTGAATTGAGGCCAGTGGAGGGATTGGCAGAGAGGGGTGGAGGACACTGAGTGGAGAGCAGTGGAGGGATTGGCAGACAGGGGTGGAGGACACTGAATGGAGGCCAGTGAAGGAATTGGCAGAGAGGGGTGGAGGACACTGAATGGAGGCCAATGGAGGTATTGGCAGAGAAGGATGGCAGATACAGAATGGTTAGTAAGGTGGACAGGGGCGGACTGACAACTCATGGGGCCCCTGGGCAATAGGGGATCATGGGGCCCCTGTGTCCTTGCCCAAACTCAAAAAAGCCTATGAAAAAGGTACCAGGGGCATCTCATGGGGCCCCCTACTGACCCCCCCAAGGGCCCTCGGGCAGTGCCCAAGTTTCCAAATGGTCACTGGTATGGACACCAAAGTGCACAGTGGAATGCACACAAGAATGAACACTGGAATGGACACCAGAATGCACATTGGCATGGATATTGGAATGCACACTGAAATGGACACTAGTATGTAGACTGGAATGGACATGGGCATACAAACTGGAATGCAAACTGGTATGCTCACTGGAATGGACATTGGAATGGATGCCGGAATGCACACTGGAATGGACACTGGTATGCACACTGGAATGGACACCAGAATGGGCACTGGAATGCACCAAGGACTGGACACTGGAATACACACTGGAATGGATACTCAAATGCTCACTGGAATGAACACTGTAATGCACACTGTAACGGACACAAGAATAGACACTGTAATGGACACTGAAATGGAAAATGGAATGGACATCAGAATGCACATTAGACTGCACACTATAATGAACACTGGAATGGACACTGGAATGCACACTGAAATGCTTACTGGAATGGACATCAGAATGGACACCAGAAAGGACTAATGCACACTGGAATGGACATTGGAATTGACACCATAATGGACACTGGTATGCGCACTGGAATGTACATTAAAATTGACATTGGTATGCACACTAGAATGGACACCGGAATGCACACTGAACTGGACACCAGAATGGAACAAATGTACACTTGGACTGGATACTGGAATGGGCAAATGCGTGCTGGAATGGACACTGATATGCACACTAGAATGGACACTGAAATGCACACCAGAAGGGACACTGGAATGCATACTGGAATGGACACCGGAATGTTCACTTCAATACACACCACAATGGACACTGGAATGGACACCAGAATGGACAATGGAATTGACACTGGACTGGACATTGAAACACACACTGGACTAGACACTGGAATGCACACTAAAATGAAAATCAGAATGGACACTGGAATGGACGAATGCACACTGGAATGCACTCCGGTATGGACACCAAAATGCACAGTGGAATGCACACAAGAATGAACAATGGAATAGACACTGGCATGGATATTGGAATGCACACTGGAATGGACAGGGGCATACACACTGGAATGGACACTGGAATGCAAACTGGTATGCTCACTGGAATGGACTCTGGAATGCACACTGGAATGGATGAATTGGACACTGGAATGGACATTGGTATGCACACTGGAATGGACTCTGGAATGGACTCTGGAATGGACACTGGAATGCACACTGGAATGGATGAATTGGACACTGGAATGGACATTGGTATGCACACTGGAATGCACACAGGAATGGACAAATGGACACTGGAATGGACACTATTAAGCACATTGGAATGCACCATGGACTGAACACTGGAATACACACTGAGATGGATACTGGAATGCACACTGGAATGGACACTGGAATACACACTGGAATGGATAATGAAATGCACACCAGAATGGACACTGGAATGCACACTAGGAAGGACACTGGTATGCACACTGGACTGGACACCGGAATGGGTGAATGTACATTGGAATGGACACTGGAACAGACAATGGAACGGACACCAGAATGGGCAAATGGATGCTGGAATGGACACTAGTATGCACACTAGAATGATGAATGGACACTGGTATGCACACCAGAATGAACACTGGAATGGACATCAGAATGGATAGATGGACAATGAAATGCACACTAGACAGGACACTGGAATAGACACCGGAATGGAGGAATGGACACTGAAATGCACACTGGAATAGACACTGCAATGGACACTAGAATGGATGAATGTACACTGGAATGGACACAGGAGTGGACAAATGGATACTGGAATGTACTCTGGAATGGACATTTACAATGGGCACTGGAACAGACAAGGGAATGCGCAAATGGATGCTAGAATGGACACTGGTATGCACACTAGAATGAATACTGGAATGTTTAATGGAATGGACAGTGGAATGCATACTAGACTGGACACCGAAATGCTCACTGGAATGGACACCAGAATGGATGAATGGACACTGAAATGCACACTGGAATGCACACTAGACTGGACACTGGAATATACACTGGAATGGAGGAATGGACACTGAAATGCACACTGGACTAGACACTGGAATGCACACAAGAATGGACACCAGAATGCACACTGGACTGGACACCGGAATGGATAAATGTACACTGGAATGGACATTGGAATGGACGAATGGAACAGACACGAATGGATACTGGAATGCACTCTGGCATGGACATTTACACTGGACACTGGAATGGACACTGGAACAGACACCAGAATGGGCAAATTGATGCTGGAATGGACACTGATATGCACACTAGAATGGATGAAATGGACACTGGTATGCACACCAGAATGAACACTGGAATGCATACTGGAATGGACAGTGGGATGCACACTAGACTGGACACTGGAATGCTCACTGGAATACACACCAGAATGTACACTGAAATGGACACTAGTATGGACGAATGCACACTGGAATGAAAACTAGAATGGACACTGAAATGCACACTGGACTAGACACTAGAATGGACACTGGAATGCACACTGGACTAGACACTAGAATGGAACACTGGAATACACACCAGAAAGGACATTGGAATGGACAAATGGACACTGGTATGCATATTGGAACGGACAATGGAACGACCAGTGGAATGGACACTGGTATGCACAGTAGAATGGCCACTGGAATGGAAACTGCAATTCACACCAGAATGGATGAATGCACACTAGATTGGACACTGGAATGCACACTTGACTGGACACTGAAATGCACACTGGAATGTACACTTGAATGGACACTGGACACCGGAATGGATGAACGCACACTGGAGTAGACACTGGACTGGATACTGGATTGCACGATTGAATGAACACTGGAATGCACACTGGACTGGACACTGGAATGCACACTTGAATGAGCACTGGAATGCACACTGGAATGGATGAATGCACACTGGATTGGACAGGGGAATGGGAGGCAAGATCTGGGGGCCCCCTTGTCAAAGGGGGCTTCCAGATTCTGAGAAGCCCCAACCCGCAGACCCCCACAACCACAGGCCAGGGCTGTGCGGAAGAGACCCTTGTCCCCAAGGTGCTTTGGGGGGGCCCTCCTGACCCAAAGCACCCCCCCCATGTTGCATGTGGCCAGGTATGGTTGGGGGGTGCTCGCTCATCCCCCCTCTATCCTGACCTGCTGGGCTGCATGCTTGGATGAGGGTCTAGTATGGATTTTGGAGGAGAGCCCCACGCCGTTTTTTTTAAAAAATGCTTTTAATTGTCAGGCAATGCCGATAATTCTTATTACATTCAGCTGTTAGCGGGGAACCCCACTGACACCAGGAACATGAATGAGTCTCACTACTAGAATACTGCATGACTTCATAATAGATCTCCCTCCGGATTGTAGTAACTGTGCGGGATCGCACCACATACCCCGATGCAGGAAGTAAATTATTTGTGTTCGAACATTCTGTAGGTTTGGATGTTCAACCGCGAACCGAACAGGAGTTGTTCGGTCCATCGCTAGAACAGACACCAAAATGGACAAATGAATGCTGGAATGGACACTGGTATGCACATTGAACTAGACACTGCAATGGCAACTGGAATGTGCACAGAAATGGACACTGGAATTCACACCGGAATGGACACTGGAATTCACACCGGAATGGACACTGGAATTCACACCGGAATGGACACTGGAATTCACACCGGAACGGACACTGGAATTCACACCGGAACGGACACTGGAATTCACACCGGAACGGACACTGGAATTCACACCGGAACGGACACTGGAATTCACACCGGAACGGACACTGGAATTCACACCGGAATGGACATGGCCATCCTTGCCTGTAGAGGGGGTTGTGCTTATATACACAATTGTGTACTTTGGTTCGGATCCGCACACACCTTGTCACACAGCGGTTCTGCATTCACATGTAAGCCCATTATTGCCCAGCGGTGGACACTCGCTCATTGCTGGGGTGGTGATCACCATCTACAATACGATGTACCCACATTGGGGGCCATTCTCTTCGTGTGCTGTGTTGGTGATTTTTGAGGACTGGTTTGCGCAGGTTATACTGTATATTTGATGTAATTTTTGGAAATGTCTGATTTTTATTAGTTGAAATTATATGTAAGATGTATCTTTTTATATATCTGGGGTACAGAGGACGATCCGGGTCCTCAGGGATCCAGACTGTAGATGTTTTATATCTGATAATGAACAATTTTTGTGCCATGTCTGGGTCATGGATATTTCATGTTATCTATATGTTAAGGATGTTACGATTTGCTTGAGTATTGGGTGGAGACACAATCTAGTTGGATTAGAGGAGTTTTTTTCCTCCTGTGCGCCCTAATTTACATGTCAAGGATCCACTTGTTGCACTTTAATACTCCAAATCAGCACAATGCCGGCACATCTTCTGTGGGATTTGGGCTCCTCAACATTCCTGGAGATCTCGCCAGAAGATAGATGACATCACCCTCATCCAGGCACCACACACGGCAGTCCAGGGATTTTTGAAGTTCTATGCAGAGTTTTGGACCGGTTGGGGATTGGGGAACATGACACAAGTAGAAATGTGGGTCCTAAATGCCATTTGTAGCCCAGACACATTCACGGTCAATCTACGTTCTCATCACAAGAAAGGAAAGTCAGACGTTGGAAATGCAGGATGTGAAAACTCGGTTTAATAAAGTTTCTTTATTGATTACAAGTATATAAAAGATACGACCAAAGCCTCATCTATAAGGTTAAGTGCTTCAAACAGCATAAAAAGTTTTTGTTTTTGTAATTTTCTGACTGTAAAACACGTCTGACAATCACAAGATTTCATGCCAGAAGAAAATATAGCAGAAAGCACATCTCCAGATAAAAGC